GGTGATTTGAAACAACTTTTTCCTTAGCGAAAATGTTGTCCGAGGCTTCGTTGAGTTGATATTAACGGAAAACACTGACCAATCAGAGCGCGCGGATACCGGTGGAGCGCTCGCCGACCAATCAGAGCGCGAGTATGCCAATGGAGCGCTCGCTGATTGGTCAGTGTTTTCCGTTAATATCTTCTCAACGAAGCCTCGGACAACATTTTCGCTAAGGACAAAGTTGTTTCAAATCATCTCTCGAACCGCCCCTTTCAATGTGTTACAACATTTTTGGGACACCCTGTATATATATGAACCGTTCATTCGTAAAAGCGATGCAAGTACAGCGAGATGTACAAGGTTCAGGCTTCAAACATTTTTCAAGTAATTCGCATAGGTTATGTATGTCAAGATAATCCATTACGTCCATACAATTTTTTGAGGTTAGGCCGATGCATTCGTTAAAGTTTCATTTTCCGAAATAATAATAGAATAATTCCATTACGTTCTTGCAATTATTTTGAGGTTATGCCTAATTGCATATTGCTGAAACACAAGTTCAGTTCATGATATCACGAATTTGAGGTTAGGTCGTTGCATACAAATTCGAACAAATTCTGTTCGAAGTATAGTAGAATAATTCGATTACGTTCTTGCAATTTTTTGAGGTTATACCTAATTGCATATTGCTGAAACACAAGTTCAATTCATGATATCACGAATTTGAGGTTAGGTCGTGGCATAGAAATTCTAAAAAATTCTATTCGAAGTATAGTAGAATAATTCCATTCTGTTCTTGCAATTTATGAGGTTAACTCTAGAAGTATACCGCGGAAAAATAATATTTATTGGCAAAATACGGAGTCATATTCATAATTCGAGGTTATGTTTCACCGTTCAAGTTTCCATTGGAAACAATAATGTTCGCATCCCTTTCCAAATAAACGGTCCATACGTGTATACATTCGCATAAGTCGTCGTTTTCTCCAACGTCTGGATTTCCAGGCCATCGATCGACGCTTTTCACACGGAAGCTGATGGTGACAGTGTCAGTAATGCGAGTTGTTCAGGTTGGATGTTGTGTCTTTAGGCAAGAGAAAGTGAAAAAAGAGGAGCAAAACTAAAAGCCACATTTCTCGTATAAGGTACAATTAGTGGAAAAGAAGAAGCTAGTTGAAGCAGCGAAGGAAATGGAAGAACTGAGTCCTACGTCTGAGCCTTCGTTTTCCAAATAAAAGAGAACCTAGTTACGCAGATTGTTTTTTGCAAACATATTGAGCGCAACATTTGGCAAACACTAAATATATTAAGCTAGTTATTTATAGAGAGTTTGACCCGAACATTTTTGGGGGGTATTCGAGTTTAATTCCATTGTCGATGGGCTATGCCAGTACTGATGCCGAGAGGAAGCGAGAGCGTGCGTTTTAATTCTTACAGTTTGCATCAAAAATCATACACAAGCAACAGGAAAGGTACGACATGCATAAATATGTATATATATATATATATGTATATATATATGTGTGTATACATATTTATGTGTACATATATAAACTGGAGAGTTGTACCGTGCCAGAACATGTAATATCTTGTGTTACGATTGGAAATTATTGTAATTCAGAAGTATTTTGAGAGAAATATCCTTTCTAGCGATGAGTCGGAACTTAACTGGTTAAAATTAAGCAAGTAATATATTTATTGAAGTTAAAGTGTGGTAAATTTTAGAAACGTTGGAATTATGTTTCATATAACGAGTTATTGATTTGTTTCACATGTGCAATCATATAATGTGAAATGATATATTGTGAACACTAAAATAGGTAATGGAAAATTATATTATGAATTTGAATTTACAAAAGTTTAATTGAACGTTATAAATAAAGAGAAATACACAATTATACAGAGTCAGGATAGAACGATTCTTGCTGTTTTGCTGCTTCTTCGTACGAAACGATCCTAGTTTTATCACAATAGAACATCTTATATATACCTCGACTCCTTGCGCTTCTAATCATCGACGACTCTCTCTTTAAGTTAATCACCCTCTAATTAATTTTGCATGGTAGGTCAGTTTCGAATAAACTCTACCATATCTTTGTGATACTTGAAGGTACATTTTTCGCAGACATTTCTAACTTCGCAAATCCTTTTCTACATTCGGAAGCATTTCACTTTTCGTTTACGTAACGCTGTACAGTATATACATATGAACACTACAGGGTGTCCCATTTTAACTTGGCAAAAATATTTTTTCCTGACGGCCATTTAAAAAAAAGAATGGGTCGATTTTTTTTGTCCTGGCATCGAGAATTTGGAAAATAATAAACTTCATAGCACTGGGATAGAAACAAAGACCGTTGTTTTCGTCTCGATACCATCTACGATTTTCGTTAAGACAAAAAATCGACTTGCATTTAAAAAGAATAGCCACCACGAAGAAATATCGTAAGCTCGCGTTATTAATTCAAGTTAAAATGGAACGAGCTTGTTTATTGAACACGTTGCCCAGATATTTCCGAAGATTCGACGGTCCCATAGGTCCTAAACGCGATCACTATTCCACAGGCTGTTCTTTCTGGAGCATTCCGTACCTACGATGAAGCTCCTCCTCCATAGCTTCCATTTGTTCCCTGTTCTGCTCCTGCGTCATCTGCTCCATCAGCTCGTGGTTGTACGTAGAATGTAGCATCAGAGCGAGGACGCCAGCGCGAGTGGCCATGTTAGCTCTGATCTGTCTTTCCTGCTCAACGAGCTCGTCTATTTTCAACCATTGCCTCACCCTCTCCATATCGATCTCAGCTCGTCGCAGTTTCTCCCAAACGTAATGCTTCACGCAACTCTTCTTCGGTGCTCGACAAAACTCCCCCGTGGTGTCGAACACGTTCGTGACCAAGGGACAACCGCACACCTCTGTTTCGCTTATTTTCGGGTCCTTGCAGTGCTCCGGACAGAGGACGCGCAACCTCTTGCAATAAGTTCGGTTTACTGGATTGTAGAAGTCGCAGAACATCACCTGTCCTTCGATGCGTGTCTTGAAAATCGAGCCGAAGGATGCTTGGGACTCGTACTGGAAATTTAGCGAAATAAATAAATATCGATATTGACCTTATGGTTGCTTGATAATATACAATAATTCCAAATGATAATATCGATTAGGAAAGAGATGGTTGGTGTCTCTTCCTTGGCCATTTGGAATATATCTTTGTTTATTCTATTTGCTCGGCACTTCTCCCCCCAACAATTTGTAATTATCATAGAGTTGGAGCAACCTTACGTTTAATTTTCAGTCACACTATTTTTGATCACAAACAAGCCTTACCTTATTAAAGCATTTCTCCATATGTTTAATAGCAGTCCTCGAATGAATCTCGTGTCCACAAGTGATGCAGTACATGCTCATCTCGGTATCGTCGTTGTCATCCACCTCAGCCTGGGGATCGATCGTCGCGTGTTTCGCTCGCTCGACGATTCTATCAAGCTCCGCGTGCCTCTTATCCAGTTCCTGGAGAATCCTTCTGACGTCGTGTTGCTGCTTTCTGACCGATTCCAAAGCCCTTCTGTTGTTCTGCTCGGCGATGCACGGCGTCAACGACCACTCTTGGATCCGTTGAGGCAACACTTGGTAGATCCTATTCGTTGCCAATTTCAGACCGCACTCGTCGGAGCAGTACTTGCTACCAGGTCTCGATTGCTTCACGCAGGCTGGCCCGTAGCAGTGTCTCGGCACTTCCAGGTGTTCGTTCCTCTCGTTGCTCGAGTCCCTCTTACGCTTCTTGATGAACTTGGAGCTTTTGTTGAAGCCCTTCGAGGGCTTCAGCAAGAACGGGTCGCCCAACACTCGACAAGTTCTTTGTATGCATCTGAGCTTCAATCGTACCGAAGGTCCAAATTTCTTTAGGTGTCTACCAGTCGAAGACTATTAATTAGTATAAACTACATATTTTTGTTATACGATAGTAATACTCTAATTGGTATCGATTAGTATCGGTTGTATTTACCTGCACGCGTCGCATTTTCCACAGTTTTCGATTCTCAGACATCCCGTGCATTCCCCGCAACGTTTCGATGATTTCTTCACTACCGACGAATGCCAAGGCCCGTCGTACTCGTATTGACGAGTCTGCTCTTTCTCTTTGTGCTTCTTGAATTTACGATCCTCCTGATCCGTCCTTCGCGGCTTGTAACGCGTTATCAAAGTTGGGTCCTCTTCTCTGCAACGCTGTAAATACATATTTGGTCGGTTCAATCTGTCGAATGAGAATTATTTGTTAGAAGTTCGTTCGTCAGAAAATTCTTACGACGCAAAAGAATTGTTTTATGTGCTTGGCATCCTTTTCCGTTATATTTATGCAGTCGCCGTGGTACCATTCCTCGCACGCATCGCATCCTCTGAAATCAAAATCTCGGTTAATAAATAAAGGGGATATCGGATATAATAGTAATTTATACTAACATCATAAAACGTGAGCTGTCGGAGCTTCTGCAAATACAATACGCCTGTCCATCCTGTTTCAATAACGTAGCGATCTTGCTTTTCCTCTCCGGTAACATAAACTGCTTCGCTATCTCCTCTTTCTGCCAAGTACAATTTTCGTTCATGTAGAGGTGGAACAGAATTACTTATAAATTAAAATCGATCGTCGTATTAGTTTACATCCATTATTGATACGATTGAAAATTCACAACTAAACGTTTCAGTTTACTCGATGATTCTTCGAGTCGATTTATTGTTTGAAAGGAATTGAAAATTCACGATGCAGGAGTTGAAAATTAACTTAAAACTGCATTCGATCACCAAGTAATATACAGGTGACACTCGAATACGTACCGACAAATTCTGTTGTCTCTTGTCAGTCATGGTTGTGTATTATTATCTCGTGAAATACACTTGGAAGACTTTTATTGTGCCCAGAAGTATCGCAATTTCAGTTTCTACGAAACGCAACGTTCGCCATGTTGGATCGCATACTGCAGTGGCGCCTGGTGGTGCCAACAACTTTATAGAATAGCAGTGGAGATGTTGAAAATTGTTAAGCTCACTGACCGGCTCATTGAGCGGCTCATTGAGCCGGTCAGTGAGCGATAGCTCAGTAATTTTATTTTAGTAGCTCATACATACTGCTCCTTTATGATCTACCAAAACCGTAAGTATTATCGCCTTTCTTTACTTTCTGTAATCTGTCCAATTTTACTTCAGCAAATATTTTTGTGAAATTTATAGTTTCGAAGATATCTGAGGTGTTAATGGTTATTTATTGCCTCACCCTATATATACGCGTAACGTAGCGCTACCAGTGGTGATTCGAAGATGGTATTTTCCCCCAAACGAAATCACTATAGAATTCCCTAGTAATTTCGTAAGTCTTTTCATTTCTACGAATATCTCTAAATTCACTCGATTACAATTATCGCGTCGTAAAGATTCAAAGAGAATTAATTCGTGGATGCAATCGTTACAAATTTAAAATTCAAGATCAATGGCGATTCGTAGCATGTATTTTCCCCCAAACAAAATCACTATGCAATTCCCTAGTAATTTCGTAATTCTTTTCATTTCTAAAAATTCACTATTCAACCTCGAGATCGATCCTTATCTTGTTCATAAACTTAATTACTAAACTTAATTTAATTTACATCATATTCAAATATAATTTTCAAAAAATGACTAAAATTACTAAAATTTGTTCTTTCGATTTTCAACTTGATTACCGCGCAAAATAAACTGCAATAACTTTCCAATTTGCACGAGCAAAAAGAAAATACATTTCGACGCATATCCGTCGGTTGGATTATTAAGAATGTTAACGATACTTGGCCCAGATAATTGTTTCTTCGGGCAAATTTGATTGTATTTCAGGCGATAATAGAATCGAATGCTTCCGGGGTCGAACGGTGTCGTTTGAAAGTCACTATAGAATCGATAAAGAAGTTCAGAATGGAAGCCAGTCATAAACAGCTTATTTATCTTCCTAATAATCGTTCGCGTCGACTGTTTTCGACCCAGAAAAAATCATCCTGAGGCTTTGTAGCAGGTACCGCCTGTAATTCCGTTTTAAATCGAATTTTATCGGAGCGCCAAGCGTACTCTCGTTCGCTGCGAAACATATCGTCGTCAGCTTATCTTCTGTCGCCGAGGACTTAACCCCTCAAGTAGTATCGAAGTAATATTAACAAAACAGATATTTCTATAGTTTATAATCACCATGCTTACAGACGCAACTGCATGAAAGTAGTTTCAAACAAATTACACGTAAATTACAGTAAATAACGTGGTGGTAAAGGAAGTCGTTAAACGACGCGACAAAATCGAACTTGTTGATAAACAATAACCTCCATTCTCGTCCCCTTAGTTGCAGATGATCAATGTTGGAAGGATGGTATTGTCGTTCAATCGCAAACAACAACGCAGATGCAGAGGACGATGACGAAGACAGCCCAGAAGAAGAAGTGCCTAATTACAAGGATCAGTATCGCAATCTCAAGAGAAAGTTGAAGTTTCTAATCTACGTATGTGTCTCGTTTATTCTTTGGATACTACGTGCCGATCTACTACTACCGGTCTAACCGTGCGATTATTTCAGGAGAATGAGTGTTTCCAAGAAGCGTTGCGCTCCACGCAAAGGAAGCTGCTCAAAGTCAATCGTGACAAGAGCTTCCTGTTGGATCGCTTGTTGCAATACGAGAAGGTAGACGCGTCCTTCAGCGAAAGCGACGAAACGGAGTCGTCCGACGAAGAGGTCCCTCGTCTCGACACTTCCAAAAGGTAAACACGGAAGAAATAATAAAGGTAAACGGAAGATAAACTCTGTGGAGAGTAACGCTCGCTCTTTTCAAGGAAAAAAATCGAGATGGGCATTAGCAATCATACTTCGCACCACATACCGACAGTGACGAAACCCTTCAATGCCAGTAAAAAGAAGAAAACCACTCCGAAAGTGACAAAATCAAACAACACACCTATAGTAAGTTTTCTCTGGTGTAATAAATTAAATACAATCACTCCATGAAATATTTTACGTTGTAGGTACAATCGTCTAACAATATAGTGCCGATGTCCTTGATGTCGGATGGTCACATGACACCGGAGGAAGTAGAAAGACATTTAGAGTCTCGACAGACTTACTTGGAGCTTGTACCAGAGAAAGCACCGCCTACAGTTCCCACGGAAATGTTCAGCAATGACCCTTCGTTGGATAGGTAAGCAATTAATTAACTATTACGATACGTGTAATCGATAATGATATGTTATGCGCAATTTCTATATTTGTAGCGAGTCGAACGAAATCGGTGAATTAGAAACGTCCCCGAGCAATATGGGCGAGGATTGTCTCAGCGTGGATATGATGGCTGAGTGACGAACATTAGTTTGTAAACTAGCGGTTAATTACACATTGCACATAATTACGTATTGCGTTAATATTACATTATTCGGCTAACTTAACTGTACTCTTCGTAATATAATACAAATTTTTATACATGTAGCAGAATGCTTGTGGCTTCTCTGCGGTCCTTTTAATTATTTCTCTTTAAAATGATAACTTACAGATAATATATATTATATATAATTAATGGTAACGGGTGGTCGGATTAAAAGAAATGTCACTAAAATCATCAAAGTTCGTAATCACGGTTTCAGTGAAACCATTTATTCGTTTCAGTTTACAAAGAATATATTATGTACATAATATCGTGTATGTAATATATGTATTGTATATACGAATATATAATTAACGGTAACGCATGGATGGTTCGATTAAATAAAAAAAAAAAAATGTTTAAAATTATTTATCAAAGTTCACAGCCAAGGTTTCAGTGAAACGATAAAAATGTTTATTTAATTTTCAATCTAAAAAACTTCCGGGGTTCTACTTGAATGGTTTAGAATAAATAAAAGACCAACAAGGAACGTCGTTTCATTTGTCATTTTCGTTTCGTTCGATACGTTGTAAACGTTAGGTTAAATAATTTAAACGAATCACAAATGGACAATTTAAAATGATGAACGAGAAGAGTTCGGTGGAAAGTGTTCTGGAGAAAATAATAGAAAAACTCCAAGTTGGATGCGATCAGGAAAAGGAAATTGTTAAACGTTCGGTTAAGCGAAAACTCGACGATATCCTCTCGACGAATAAAAGACGTAAATTAACAGCTCGCGAGTCTTTCAACGACCTACATTGCCGCATTTGCTACGATACCACTCAACAGTTACCCGTCATTTATCCTTGCAAATGCAAGGTTTGTTAATTAATTCTTTGTTAATATAAATAGCAGATCACAGGGCGAGTCACCTAAGAATTTTCCCCTGGAATATCTCCGTTGTTATTAACGATACGAAGAGATGCCTTGGGACAAAAGTGTTTGGTTAGAAGGGGTTTATACTATGATAGACGAAACAGTTGTATCAAGGTCATACTTTTCGAAATTTCAAGGTCATCAATATTTTTTCAAACGTATAGGTGTATTTCGAATATTATTGTCTTGTAGCTGATGAAAAGACAAATTCAAACATGTATAATATGTTGACCTTCGAATGACCTTGCGAGGAGAAAATATCTCCGTTGTTTGTCATCCGAAGATCAACGTATTATACATGTTTGATTTTGTCTTTTCATCAGCTACAAGAGACTATTATAACGATACCATCCCGTTCCATTTGAGAAAATGTACGACCTTGAGATTTAAAAAAAAAAATATATATATGACCTTGAGATAGTTTTCTGTGCATACAGTAATATCGTCCCTTAGAACCTCCTTAAACAATTTTTCCATATCGTTAAAAGCAACAGAGATATTTCAGTTACAAATCTCAGGTAATCCCCTGGATTTCTATTTATATATATTTGTTTAAGGGAACCATGGCCGCGGTTCATTTGAAATGCCTGGAACGCTGGCTAGAGGAAAGCAATAGAAACAGTTGCGAATTGTGCGGACACCGATTCGTCGTCGAACGCACGCCACGTTATCGAGTCGTGAATTCCATCGTGATTTGGCTGTGCCTGAATCAACACCACCAACAATTGTACGTTCGCAATTTGAGATCCGACGCGATACGAAGCGTCATCGTCACCCCTATGGCGATCGGTTGCTGTTACGTTTGCGTAGTCGCCGCCGACTTTTACGCGAAAAATAATTACGATAATTTCCCTTCGGCGCAGTGGGCCACCTACTTATTATTAACGATGATGTCCTTGTTAATTTTGTCGTATTTCGTGTGGATGTACATGGCGATACAGTATCACCAAAAAGTTTGGTTTTATTGGTGGCAAAAGACGAGTACAGTAAGAATTATATTAGATCCCGAAAATAGAACTCCGATAAACTATAAATTAAACGTATCACAAGTTTAACGATTACCACCGAACACTTTTAATTCCTGGCAATGTTTATATATGTATAGTTGGTCTAATTGTTACACAGTTCGTACATTAGGACGCCCTTCTCTTGATCGAAATTTTCGCTCTGCTCAGCTGAGATATGTATATACGTACTTTGCTGCTGTCGGAAACTTTCTTCACCCAAATCTACGGACACACAGAAATCGTACTTGAAATAAATATAACAACACATATAAATGGATCGAACGATTATTTTACTTACAGCCTCGGTTCCGATCGCGGAAATATTCGCAGCGAATCTCGTTAAATCTTTTCCTTCCACGTACACTGGTTGTCCACGATGAAACCTACAAATGTTCAATTGAAATTAATGTCCAACGTTTAACTTTGTACGCTTTAGAAGAAACCAGGGCAAACGTTACCATCGTCTCTCGTGCAAGAGTTTGCCATCCTCTATCCTAGTCTCTATTAAAGGAGTGTCTGAAGGTGGAGGTATGTGTTGAGAAGATATGTTTACAGCATTGTAATGTGGCAGTACTACTGCAAAGAAATGCGATTAACGCATGCTTGTTACGTTTAAGATGTGCAATTGGTACCTGGTTTTCGAACCGTAGTCAGTACTTTGCCACGGCTAATGGCTTTCAAATCGCTTTCGATCTCTTTTTCATCTAATAGGTAGTTCAACTGTGCCGGAGGTGGTTTCCTTCGCTTCTCTACCTTCTCAGGCACAGGATCGTTGGGACGTCTGCGTAATTTCCTTGTCATTACAGGTTTCACCTAAAAGAACGAATCGATAACCATTGAAGTATTATAATAAAAATGTAATCATCCTCCATTTTACTAAGTGTACCTCCATCGAATCCCCTGTAAGCTCCATGGTGTGGCGATCGGACTCTATCATCTTCCGTTTCTCTTCCATATCGGTCAATAAGTTCTCCTTTAAATCTATTTTCTTTTCCTCGAATTCTTTCACCGCTGCCTTCTTCTCGAGTATGTAATCTCGTTCCACCCATTCCGTTAGGTAATCACGGTAAATTATATTCAGTCGCAGTCTACAAATAAAAATCTACAGATGTACACAGCGATTAGAAATGTGCGATACGTTTCACAAAACCGAACCTTTCCTTGTACTGAGCCTCCAAGCGCTTCAACTTGCGGTTATACTCGGGATGAGTACCATCTTTCAGTTGCTGTAATTGCTTCTTCAAACTGGCCAACTTGTCCTGATAAACTCTGAAAGATTATAGTTTCGTTATTGTAAGGTTCGATTAAGGAACCTTACAGAGCTCGATCGACAAACTTACTGTTCTTTTATTTCTGTATACTCTTCCGATTTGCCAAGGTCGGTTTCGCTTGCCTCTTCGGTATCTGGAAGATTATCATTACAGATAAGCAACGGGCTACCCAGAGACGACTGTCGAGCAATTCTCTCGGGCTCTCTGATTCGAAGCTGCCTTGGACTCGATTCGAACAAAGCAGAGAGCAGAGAATGCAAGGGAATGGTTCGATCGTTATGATTCAGAACAAAACTGGGACTACAAGAAGATTAAGCATAAAATATTCCACGTTAATGATTGAATCTACCTTCGTCGCTCTCGTCTTGTTCTTCTGCATCTCGATCATCCTCCAAATACTCCTCGTCTTCGTCGATGTCGTAATCATCTTGACCGTACATAGTCGAAAATGGTGAGTCTTGATACGACATTTTACATCACGATAACCATTTCTTTTTCTCAGGCTACCCAGCAACACTAGATCCTTTTTAATTGGAAAGGTAAACAGGCTGTTTCCAACGTAGGTTAGGACTGTGAATTGTAGGTGATTGTAGGGCGATTCTGTTGCGCTTTTAATTATATTTTAAGTATATTATCGCACACAGTTTGTAAGCGATGGCGGGAAGTACTCGTAAACAAATATAGATGTATAATTAACGCGTATCAAAAGATCCATCGTAAACGTCATTTTCATTTGCTTATCAGAGAATCACATTCTCATGGCGTATTCTATAGGAATTTTTGACACGTTTTACACAGAATTCATTTTCTGAATTGATAGATGTATAACTTTATGCGACTTAGAAATATGAATGCTTCGATGAAAAATATTTTTCAAGTTCTACAGGGTGTCCCAAAAATGTTGTAACACCTTCAAGTGGGTGGTTCGGTAGGTGATTTGAAACAACTTTTTCCTTAGCGAAAATGTTGTCCGAGGCTTCGTTGAGGAGATACTAACGGAAAACTCCGACCAATCAGAGCATGCGTATTGCGTATACGCGTGCTCTGATTGGTCGGGGTTTTCCGTTAATATCTCCTCAACGAAGCCTCGGATAACGTTTTCGCTAAGGAAAAAGTTGTTTCAAATCACCTCCCGAACCACCTCTTTCAAGGTGTTACAACGTTTTTGGGACACTTTGTATATTTACATCTCGACTCGCGGTACACATAACGGGTGCATCCAGAAACGCCACTGCTCACTGAGCGCCGCTCAGTGAGCGGCTGGGATCCGAAACATGGCGACAGCTCATTACGGCATTCAATCGGCACAACCTTTGACCATATACAGGGTGTCCCGAATATGTTGGTGATCGTTGAAAGGTGTGATTCAGGGGCGATTTTGCAGCAAATTTTTTCTTTGGAAAAATGTTACTACCTCTGCGCCTACGTGATGGCAACCGTACCGACAAACCGGCTAGCATAGGTTGCCGCATGGAAGGGGTACCTCTGCTCTTACAAGATGGCAACCTAACTGACAAGAAGGCTAGTATCGGTTGCTTAATGCCAGGGGCACCTCTGCGCCTACGACGTAGCAACCGGGCCTACAAACTACGTAGCTGCTAACTTTTCGTACTGACCGCGTTAGTCACCGGTGACTGATACTTTTCGTGCTCATTTGGGCGCCGCCTAACACCTCCTAATACCTTTTATAATATCCCCTAATAACTTCTGAAACCTCCTAACACCTTCGTGACATCTTCTGAAACCTCCTGACATCTTCTAACATCCCCTACCATCTCCTAATACCCTCTAACATCTCCTAATACCCTCTAACATCTCCTATCACCCCCTAACATCTCCTAACACCCTCTAACGTCTTCCTAACACTCGCTAACATCCCTCAATACCCTCCAACATCTCCCCTAACACCCTCCAACATCTTTCTAACACTCTCTAACATCTCCTAACACACTCTAACATCTCCTAACACTTCCTGACATTTCCTGACACCTCCTAAACACCTTCTAACAATTTCTGACGTCTCCTGACAGCTTCTGCTCCGCTCAAAACTTCAACAATGTTGCTCCGCTCAAAACTTCAACAATGTTGCTGCGCTCAAAAGTACAAGTTGCCACGCTAAAAAGTACAACAAAATGGCGACTCAGACGTTCGGCGCGAAGGCGAATCCAACAATGTTGCAAGTTCAACAATGTTGCAAATTGCTCACCCGCGGAATCCAACAATGTTGCAAATTTCTCACCCGCGGAATCTAACAATGTTGCAAGTCCAACAATGTTGCAAATTTCTCACCCGCGGAATCTAACAATGTTGCAAGTCCAACAATGTTGCAAATTGCTCACCCGCGAAATCCAACAATGTTGCAAGTTCAACAATGTTGCAAATTGCTCACCCGCGGAATCCAACAAAGTTGCAAGTTCAACAATGTTGCAAAATGCTCACCCGCGGAATCCAACAATGTTGCAAGTTCAACAATGTTGCAAATTGCTCACCCGCGGAATCCAACAAAGTTGCAGCGCTCAAAAGCACAACAAAGTGGCAACTCAGAAGTTCGGCAAAATGTGACAAAATCGGAAAAATCGCCTTCGCGTCGAACATCTGAGTTGCCGCATTGTTGTACTTTTGAGGTGTGCAACTTTGTTGGAGTTTCGAGCGGAGCAGTTTGCAACAATGTTGAAAATGAAATGTGACAAAATCGGAAGAATGCTGCCGACTCGAAACTTCTGAGTTGCAACATTGTTTGAACGTTGAAGACGGAACTTTAAGAGGAATTTTACCGAGGCATGAACGGAAATATACCAGGAACAGAGAATATTAAAGGGGAATATGGTAGGAAATGAAGGGAAATGAAAGGGAAATGTCCCAGAAATAAAGGGAAATGAAAGGGGAATGTGCTTGGAAGTCAAGGGAAATGAAAGGGAAATGCAAAGAAATGAAGGGAAATGTACGAGGAAATGAAGGGAAATGAAAGGGAAATGTACGAGAAAATGGAGGGAAGTTAATGGGAAATGCACGAGGAAATTAAGGGAAATTAAAGGGAAGTGTGCTAGGAAATGAAGGGAAATTAAAAAGAAATGTACGAGAAAATAAAGGGAAATGAAAGAGAAATTTACGAGGGAATGAAGGGAAATGAAAGGGAAATGTACGATGGAATGAAGGGAAATGAAAGGGAAATTTACGAGGGAATGAAGGGAAATGAAAGGGAAATGCAAAGAAATGAAGGGAAATATACGAGGAAATGAAAGGGAAATGTACGAGAAAATGGAGGGAAGTTAATGGGAAACACGCGACGAAATGAAGGGAAATGTGCTACGAAATTAAGGGAAATTAAAGGGAAATGTGCTAGGAAATCAAAGGAAATTAAAGAGAAATGTACGAGAAAATGAAGGGAAATGTGCTAGGAAATGAAGGGAAATTAAAGCGAAATGCAAAGAAATAGAGGGAAATGTATGATGGAACGAAGGGAAATAAAGGGGAAATGCACGAGAAAATGGAGGGAAATAAAAGGGAAATGTGCGAGAAAATGAAGGGAAATTAAAAGGAAATGTGCTACGAAATGAAGTGAAATGCACGAGAAAATGGAGGGAAATGTACGAGGAAATGGAGGAGTTAACGGGAAACGTAAGAGGAAATGAAGGGAAATTAAAGGTAAATGTCCCAGGAACTGAAAGAAAATTGCAGGGAAATGTGGCAGAAATTCGAAGGAAAATTTAAGGGGAAATTTACCAGGAAATGAAGGGAATTAAAATGGAAAATTACTACGATAATGTATATGATGTCATTGTTTTAAAAAATCTTATTAATACTATGTTAAAGACTGACGATTTAGTTGAAAGTGCGAACATATTTATTTCCGAAGTAAATAAATTTATACATAAACCACAAATAAATGATTACATGATTAAAAAACTTGCGGCACAGTAATCGAGTATGAAGAATTAATGAAAATGTTGGAAATCTGCCTGTTATTTAAACACAGGCTGGTGCCAAGTTGCAAATCGCTCTTGAAGTAAATAGACTTCAGTTAACGAGTAATACTATAAACTACATTAAGAATAATCCGGTACGAATAATATACGACTCAACGCCTCGACTCGCTATCCACAAAAAATGTAACAGTGGCGCCATCGTTAGGATAACACTCAAGCTTGTAGTGAACATAGTTCCCGCTGTTGCTAATAGATGGCGTTCTATATACTTTGGTCGCGCCATCTTGCAGCTCCATTCGGAACTATACATTCACTACAAGCTTGAGCGTTTTCCCACCGATGGCGCCATAAACGCCATTTTGAAAAATTTCCTGCACTACTTCCGTAGATAATTCTTATAGAACAGCTAGATTTTTATAATAAATATATTTCATGAGAAACATGCAGATGAAGTATTAATTAAGTATAGGACTGTTTATTAGTACAAATGCATAGTCAAGAGAGGATCGACTAGTAACATAACATTTTATTTGTTAAGATTACATGTAGCAATAGGGGCTAAGAGGATAGATTTTCTACTAACGATAAGAGTACTTTGTAGCCGCACAATTATATTATAATTGTAGCTGCATACGCCTAATAAGATAAACAATATTGTATCAAGTCTGTATACATATTAACATATTAACAACAAACTTAAGTTTCCTGTTCGTCATTGAAGAGGGAAGCACGTACCGCGCCGCGGATTAAATTTAAATCTGACTCAGTAGCCAGCTATTCCGTCAGTGAATAATCTTCCATATCATTGGATTTTAACAGTTCGCTTGGGACTGCTTAATCGAGCGTTGTCGTAGACTGCTTGAGTCAGGAATTACGCTGAATAATCCTAAATAGATATATCTAGAGTCACCCCATCCCTAGCTTATCTATGTATAATAGTAAATGTTATAATGTATATATAACGTATACATAATAGTAAATAGTAAATATATAACGTATGTATAATAAGTAAATGTTATTTAAATACTCTTTTAATACGTTCGAGTATTCATCGATTAACATTTAAATAAATGTACATTACGTACTCGTAAATAAGGCTACGTTATTTAAAAATTCCCCGAGCGAAAAATATTCCGTTCGAAAAGAACACGGTTGCTAATATTAAAGAAATACATTTTGTTGTGTATTGGCCATTCCCTCAGCCCCAGTTTCCGTCGGTTGGTCGTGAATTGAAGGAGGTCGTGTAATAATAACTTGGCCTATTTAGATGGTGGTTATTTCAAGAAAACGAAAAAAACCTATGGCTGTTCGTGCAGTCGTATTTCCTGTCGACTCTCGCTTTTCGAATATCTGTGGCGACAGTTGCAGCGACGAGAACGTTAATTCCCGATGGTAAACAACATGGCGGCTTCGTTGGGCGAAGCTGCAGACGGGGATTCCAGAAACCGTCTTCCCTGAAACATTATAATTAATTGATGTAATCGATTATAGAGTAACGAATGGAGACTAATTGAATGGATACATTCGTTTTGTTCTCGAATAAACGCACTTCGAAACACATATTATGTATTATTTTATTATATATGTGTAATATCAAGTATGTAACAATATTTAAGTGTGATGTGCAAACACATGATTCAATAATGCTCCTGCTGCTGCTGCTGCTGATGGTGATGATCTTGCATATACTTTTACATATATTTCCCTTAATTTCCAAAGATCTTGAAGCCCTGCAAGTATCAGATTACTATGCACGTAGTTTACAGAACCAATTTCCAACACAATAAATCAAGAATAATTATTTCTAGACACTGTCAACCATCTATTCAACTAATACATATACAATAATACAGAGTGACTGGAAATAAAATTGAATAAATGTATATTACTAATGTAAAGTTTAGAAAAATAAGCTCGGGTTTAGCAGAAGTCTACCAAAGATCAAACGTAGACCTCTAGGAATCTCTTTAAATCTGTTTCATAGGCCACACATGGAACGTTCCACGGCTTGGTGTGTTTGCCAGCCGCGATTTTGGAAATCCTACGTGTTGCCACCCTGTCCAAGTGAATAAGTCGCTAATATTAGAACCGTGGAAACCACGCACACATGATGCCCGGTCTTTTTTTGACGTACGCCACCCATCCGTGTTGGACGATTTCCTACGCGGCGTGGGTCGTATTCCCGCCAACCTGCTGGTATAAGAGGGGCCAAGTATCGGCCGGAGCACTTCAGTCCACTCAGAGGAACACCACACAGTACAAGGATGGCTCTCGAACGTCAAGTGCGCGCCAAGGTACGCCAAAGAACCTGAGGACTTCCATGGGACAGTTAGACTTCAGTGCAGGATCATTCATAACGGATTTTTCCTCTTCGTCTCCACTCCCAGTTCGGTGTCAAATATCAGTGTGGCCAAGTAACTGCCAATTGTCGTTCAGGAGTGGGTTCAAAGTGCTTTCGTTGGTGTCGAATGGAGATAAAGTATACATTTCAAGGTTTCTTGGTCTGCGAAGCTTCTTGACCAAAGCTTCCATACTTGCCAAGCTTTTAGAATTCAGACTTCCGCTCTGAATTCACTAGGGACAATTATACCAGACTTCTGATTTTACACCATAATACATTTCAAGGTTTCTTGATCTGCGAAGCCTCTTGACCAAAGCTCACAGATTTTCCAAGCATCCACAGTTTAGATTTCCACACTGATTTTACACTATGAGTCGATTATGCCTCTTGACATTGCATCACAAATCTGATAATCACTCTATGCTCGTAATGGGGAATTTTCTGTCCACCTCTTCCTGTATCCGCAACACCTTCGGGATGGAATATGCCCCTCGGACCAAAGGTTGATAGATCAAGGCACTAAGAGCAATATGATTGCACCGCTAATTTCTCTGTTTTCACAGATTGCGGCGAAACGCAATCCAGAGATGGAGAAGGAGGCCCAAGAATGGATCGAGAGCATTCTTGGGAAGAAGTTCCCCCCTGGTGAGCTGTTCGAGGACGTGCTCAAGGATGGCCAGGTGCTGTGCCATCTCATGAACAAGATCCAGCCTGGATCTGTCCCCAAAATCAACTCCTCCGGTGGTCAGTTCAAAATGATGGAGAACATTAACACGTAAGAATAAACGTTCACCTTTACACCACCTACACGTCTTCGAATAGAGACTTTTCAATCTTTCCTTCTCTCTCAGGTTCCAGAAGGCTCTGAAAGACTATGGGGTGGACGACGTCGATGTCTTCCAAACGGTGGACTTGTGGGAGAAGAAAGACATAGCTCAGGTGGTCACCACTCTGTTCGCTCTTGGACGCACGGTACGTTTCAATCAGAATATCCCATTAATACTAAATATATACCATATAAATAATCTATCTAAATTATAATTGCTCGACAAAGCTAGCTCCTTTATTAATGTCACGTTGATCGTCACGTCACCTATATATTGGGTGCTTTCCATTAAAGAACTAGGAAAATTCATTCTGAATGCTTTGACTCCTTATACGTATATATGGATGGAGGACCCATACGTGTTTAGTTTCCAACTCTTTTCAATTTTTATTTTCGAAACTAAGCGTTCTTATGAACAAACTAAATGTAAAGAAGTTTCGTCTCGTCGTCCCTTGTAAGCTGACATTTTTTAAAAATTGCTTTAACGAATACAAAACATTCCTCTGAGCTGATTTCTGGTGGTAGTAAATGTACACTATTCGCAAAGAATTAACACCTGTAAATTGAACGAGAAACATTACGTTTGTCTTATCAGTCCTCCCTCAATTAGAAAACTAATTACCGTGATAATAGGCACAGTGGGATTACAAGAATATATTGGATGTATTGATCTTGAAGAGTCTGGCAGTCAACGTGATATATAAGAGCAATAACAATAAAATACCAAATTAATAATAATTAGGTCGTCCCATAAGTTCGTGCCGAAGACTGTGTCGAAATTTAATAAAAAACCACAGATATTTTCTAGTAGCAGTATAATGACTATATGAGAGAGGTGAGAAACTATTGTGAAATGAGACAGATTATCTTTTCTTGTGACACTTAAGAGTATGTTTAACATGTTAATTTGAGAAATAGAAGTATAAATGGCACAAACTTTTAGGACGATCTAATAAATTCCACCAAAGTCCAAGCCTCCACATGGCAGATCTCACCTCGATTCTCTACATTACTGTCCTTTCCACAGACGTACAAGCACCCCGAGTGGAAGGGCCCCTATCTGGGACCTAAACCGTCAGAGGAATGCAAACGTGAGTTCACAGAGGAGCAACTGCGTGCTGGGGAGTCTGTCATCGGCTTGCAGGCAGGTTCCAACAAGGGTGCGACCCAGGCTGGCCAGAGCATCGGTGCCACCCGCAAGATCCTCCTTGGAAAGTAGACGACCTTGGCCTTCTCCCTATTTAGACCACAAAATTTGTACTTTGCATCCACATGTGTATATGTGTATATATATATATATGTATTATGTATTTATTTTATATTTTGTAATTGAACGATAATATATATATTTATTATTTACACCGAATTTCTTGGATCTCGACCACACATACCTGTCCCCAAAAACTTTTGGAATGCTTCAGCCGTGGCCTGATTAGGTGCTGACAAACAGGTGGACTCTGGGTAAAAATATGAATGCAATGCAACCCCAGCCAGACAGTAGCAACAAAATTTTACGAATCTTGGCAGTGTTAATAGAAACTAGAGAAAATAGAGGGTTGTGTGTTGTATGTTTTGTTTGTATGTCGAGCAATTTGTGAGGCTGTTCGAATATTTGGGAGAATAAGAATTTAGGTTAGGGTTGAGCGTTCGAGCACGTGGCCTAATTTGAGCATAACAGGTGTTACCAGGTGTTACTCGAAAGGTTCCCGATTGAAATTGCCCTACCATTTCTCAAAGAAATTTTATTTATATAGAAATTTATATTTTTATAGAAATAAAGCTTAGAAAGGCACTATTCTAAATAAATTCAATTTTATGTACTAAACACATCGCACAAAATGCCTGTTCTTAATTAAATCCCTTAATTAAATCCCATTCTACGATACTTTTGGAAATATGACCATAAACACCTGCAAATCGAAGGGGTAATATTAATAAATCCACTGTGCAATTTTATTTTAGCAAATATTTCTGTGAAACTTATAGTTTCGAAGATATCTGAGGTGGGAAGACTGCACTAACGCTTGCGAGAATGTCTCACATTGTGATTCCTTTTCAATTGATTATTTATGATCATTCTTCATAATTATTTACATTATGATTCCTTTTATAATTGATTATTTTGTGATCACCTTTCTTGAATCAGTTTGTTTCTCAAATGCCTTTTTCAAGATTTAAACTAAAACGAAATTTCAATATTAATTACTCAAAAAAATCAATCAATACTTAAAAGGCCTGGAACACCACTCTTTAGAATTTCGAGTATGAATCAAAGCGGTGTAACAAGAAAAGAGAATGAAGACGTCAGGATTTTGGCAGTGCGTGGACGTTGGCTTGGAAATTCAGAATATTGTGCACACGACGGATGGATAAAATTAGCCTGGAAGAAATGAAGATACGTAAACTGTTACTCAAAGGCTACAAACAACGATAAAAATACCGAGGCCGCCTATGAAAACCGCTGTTTCACTCTAAATCAAACGAGACATTCCTCAAAAACCAAATCCTACTCAAACTTGACTTGAAAATATATTAATACGGACAGGCAGGTGAGAATTTATTAAAAGCATCGTATTACCTTGTTGGAATGACTTGCAAGAGTCTCTTGCTGTTGGATTCGCATATTTTAATAGTAACTTAACTCCACTTGTTCACCCTTCAACTCTAACAGCTCTTGTGATCCTCATTTATCATCCAAACTTCCTTGAATAAACGTTTGATACGTTATAAAAATCGAATTTATACAGTATTTAAGTAAATATAACAATTATTGACCGAAGGAAAATTTGGCAATCAACATGAATACTGGAGTCACTGTTCGATGTTAGCTAGAACGAATAAAAAATACTCCAATTTTGTGTTTCATGGTCAGACAGAAAGAACAAGGAAAGAATCAAGGACAGAAAGAAAGGACATGGTTTGTGCAAACTATACTGCTCGTGGACCATCCATGTTATTTGTAGATCCAAAAATGATTACTTACTGCCAACAGTGAAACGTGCTTGGTAGATAGCTGCATGGACAGTTTAATTCACGGAATTTTGATGATGAAGTACCGTGCATCATTGATGTACACCAAGGTACACCAAAATACTTTAGTTATTTGTCATCTATTATGAATACTCCTGAAGGTAACATCATAATGGATGCAGCAGACTATTTCAATCAAACATTAGTTTAGTTGGAATCAGATGTTCAAATTATGAAAACAAATTGACAGTCAAGCAGCCTGATAAATCGAGGAATAAGAATAGAAATTAATCAGACACAAAATAATCCAAAGCACAATTGGACACGTTTGACCGGCATGAAAAGTTGGATTGATTAATTAATTTTTATTACTATGTTCAACACTTTCATTATTATAAAATTAGAATCTTTAAATTTAATACAAAAAATTAATCGTATGATTAATTTAGAATTGTTGTAATAATATGGCACAGAATAACGTTACAACTAGCAACAATATGGAAAAGAAAATTTCAATTTCAGAGCTATTAACAAAGGACTATTAAACAACAAATATGCTTCATTTTATTTTTGTATCATTCTACTGGTTTGCAAATTATTATCACATGCAATTTGGGAATCTTTCCAAATGCAAACAGCTTTATCAAACGAGTGATTGTTCACCTAAAAATGATCCAAGACGGTTCGTGTTACAATTCTAAATACATGTGTCTAAACAAATTTGTCAACGGTTTAACATTAAACTTCAATTTTATTATAAATGTAAAATTGTAAGCTATGGAAAATAATGTAGTGGTAAAATTGGACTTTGGGTTCCATTATGTTGAATTCAAATTTAATATAATTAAATATAACGTAACAATAAATGTAAATTTAATATAATTAAATATAATGTAATAACAAATTTAATATAACGTCAGTCCAAGTAAACGTTTAAACAAAATTTTTGTTCAATGGTTTGCATCTCAACTGCAACGAGTTTACCATGCTATGGTTATTTGAAAGCTTGCTTACCATTCAGTCGAAGACAGTGGCGCCACTTACGAATTCTAAGTTCTGCGAGTTATTGTCCGAGTTTCGTTCCTTCGACGAGATTCGTATGCACGAGAGAAGACGGCACCACTATGTCAAAAATATTTGAAATTTACTCGCAGCCAATAAAGAAGGTCACTTCTAAGTTCACTTTTCAATTACCTAGAATTTTCTCAACATGTCTAGAAATACTGTAATAATTAAAAGATCATTTGTTACAAGTGTATAATTTAAATATTCATTGTAAATTATATTACGTTAACTCCATTGATACAGGAAATATTTATTCAGGTATCTATATATGTTTTCTACGTATTATAATATTGTATTAATCGATAAAATATTTATTTGTTTATCCTTAAAATTTTGTGTATTATTCCAAGTTCATTTATTAATTTTATGTATCTCGAAATATTATAATAATATTTGGAAGGCCATCTATTATGAATATATATATATTACATATTTATTTTAAATCATATATATATTAATTTTCATTATTTACGAAATATATATCCTCATAAACCTTTCACGAATTATGTGATTCATTTTCAAGTATTTGTTTACATATGCTTTCCATATATTATAATATTAACCGATAAACTATATATTTATTTGTTTATCTTTATAAATTCTTGTAATATTCCAAGTTCATTTTTTTAAGTTTATCCAAACAATCCCTCCCCCCAAACAAAATGAAACAAAGTTCAGCGACCTATTAATTCACCTGCGGTATGTATCTTTGTTGGACTGCTGATTTTTAAACGAGGTAACAAAAATAATCGAAGACGCTCGTGTGGGTCGAGATGATTTATCGCGCTTTCCTGACACGTTCGTTTAATAAAATAAAATAAAGTAAAAATAAAGTAAGGCTAGGAAACCGCGGTACTCAGGAATAGACATGATCGAGGTAGTCGTTCTCATTTCATACATACTTGGCGTGCGAACCAACTGTGCCTTTTGATATGGCGCCAGCTGTGGGGGTTTTAATTAAACCCTTTTCCCCAATTTCACAAAAATAAGGTGTTAACGCAGACGTTTCTTAAAGGGATTCCTCTGATTAGAGGGAAAAAATCGAACAATTCCAATTTAGTCATCGTCAATCAGCTTGGTGGGGGGTGATGTTCTTGAAGTTTAACCCTTTTTCTCGATTTTTCGGAAATCTAGCGTTAATTCCAGCAATTTCGTGACCTGGAAGATTAAATCATTATTAGAGAAACCTTTCACGATACCAGTTACCAGCTCCCTCTGTTAAAAAACTAATTAATGAGATAAGCATGTAAAGCTGAGGACTCCTTATATGTGGCTGGAAAAAAATTGAAATTTCATATTATTATACAGGGTGTCCCAAAAACGTTGTAACACCTTGAAAAAGATGGTTCAAGGGATGATTTGAAACAACTTTTTCCTTAGCGAAAATGTTGTACGAGGCTTCGTTGAGGAGATATTAACGAAAAACTCTGGACCAATCAGAGCACGAGTATACCGTTGGAGCGGCCGCTGATTGGTCAGTGTTTTCCGTTAATATCTCCACAACGAAGCCTCGGAGAACATTTCCGCTAAGGAAAAAGTTGTTTCAAATCACCTCCACTCTGTATATACAGGGTGTCCCAAAAACGTTGTAACACCTTGAAAGGGATGGTTCGGGAGGTGATTTGAAACAACTTTTTCCTTAGCGAAAATATTGTCCGTGGCTTCGTTGAGGAGATATTAACGGAAAACACTAACCAATCAGAGCGCGAGTATGCCGATGGAGCGCGCGCGATAGCGTATAGGCGCGGCCGCCTAGCGCGTAGCCACACCCACTGGTGGCGCTCCACCGGCATACTCGCGCTCTGATTGGTCAATGTTTTCTCTTAATATCTCCGTAACGAAGCCTCGGACAACATTTTCGCTAAGGAAAAAGTTGTTTCAAATCACCTCCCGAACCACCTCTTTCAAGGTGTTGCAACATTTTTGCGACACCCTGTAGAAATATGATATAGAAATATCTATAATATAGAGATATTATACAGCCAACCTATAATATTCTCTCCGGTAAACTTAATCTCAACAAATACCCTGAAACATCTGCCAAAATTGTTTATACGAAAACAAACAATTCTTAAATTGAGCAAAATCTAACCTAACTACATTAATAAACAATTTATTCCAGCTCCAGTTCTCTATTTGGGTATCGATTTACAGCTTGTATAATCGGGTTCCTCTAATTTGCGCAACGTTTCCAGAGCGATAATCGCGTACGAGTTTGGATCATTATGTCGCTATAATGTAACAAGTTAGCGGGCGACAGCGGCTCGAATTGGCAGCCACCGAGGAAATATTAAATCTGCTATGCAATGGAAGCGAATGCGATA